AAAAAAAACAAATAACTTAAGGACGAGCACACCTAAAAAGTTAAACATTCTAATATTAGAAATATTAAAAAAAACCGACAAAACCAACAACCACATGATCAAGTGAATTGCAGCGGAATAGCTGCGCTTGATTGTAGTTGGCTTAGCATGTGAAATAGTGGAAATAAGCAACAAGAATTAACAAGGCGAACTTAGCACAGCGCGTAGAGCTGGCTGAGTCAGTGGGATCGTCGGTTCGAATCCTACTGAAAGAAGTCTGATGAGGAAATGTGATGATTTCAGAAATAGCTATCACTTCTAGCATTTTTTCAAATTATTGCTGCTTTTCTACAAAAAAATTTTCGTTAAAATCGGCCTTGAGCTCAATAAAAATTGTTGAATATAAATGGTTTGAGAGAAAAAATAATACGAAGGGATAGTGGAGAGCTGTGGTTTAGTGATGATGAGAATGAAGGTGAAGCTTCTAGATTACTGTAGAAAGCAAAAGCGAGGATGAGGTTGAGAGATTCATCTAATCCTTTGGAATAGGAAGCGGTGTTGTCGCAATGCCTTAATTTGTTCCCAAAATCGCCATAAATGTTTCCAAATTCAATAAGAAAATTATCAAACTTATTTTTCTGCACCGCTAAAAATCCTACATCAAACTGTTCAGGCGTCCGCTGTGCTGAGTGGTTATAGATGCATACTAGAACAAGTTTTTTTCTAACAGCGGTCGCCTCTCGGCAGGTCATGACAAAGCTTTGAGTGTATTTTTGTCATCAAAGAGCTTCTCATTAAATCCATTTGCCGTGCCGAGGCTGCGTAAAACTGTAGGTCAACATCATCATAACAATGCATACCACAAATTAGAGAAGAACCTCGGCCAAACACTTAGCAAAAGTGTAAGCGCCAAATATTATTATGACTAGTGTTAAACAGTCGCCTTTTTTGTAGAGAATGCTATAGTTCTCAACAGTTTCTCTAATCGTTCTCTCACCTTCTTCCTTAGAATCGCCTTCTAATCGCTCTCTAACCTAAATGTTTGTATTTATAAATACGGTGGACATCTCTGCTTTATATCAAAAGACAGCCCTTTTTAAGATGCTGTCTGTTGTCTTGAATTTAAGAACGTCCCCTTTAAAAGTAATTTTTTATACACAAAGTTTATTTTATCATACACAAATGCGCGGTCGCCCCTCGGCAGGCAGTGGCAAACCTCCGAGTGTATTTCTGCCATGAAAAACAGCTTCTCAGGAAAACACAATCGCCGGTCGGCGTAAAACTGTAGATCCCACCCCTTTTGTGTGACAACATCACTACTCTTATACAAATACTAGCAGACCCGGCGAACTACGTCCCGCCCACAATAAATTTTGTTTTATTAAAATATTTGGTTCCAACATTTTCACCAACAATTCACGTTCACGATTTCCATTGGCACATTTATCTGCTAATATTACGGTTTCGACTTTGTCAAAAAGCATATTTCTATTGCCGTCTTAATAAACCTAACGAAAGTGTATGTTCGTGAAGAAGTTCTTGAAATTCTCCAATGATCTGGCGTTTCACAGCACGGTTAATCGCACAACGTAATAAATTTGAAGAACTTTTCCATCTTCACTCCCTGGCGGTAACAATGATACGGTTCGATGGTGAATCTGTCCTTTAAACTGTATAGTACAGTTGGTTGCAATTTCAAAATGGGTGAGTATCGTTGTTCTACAGAAATCTAATATTCACAGACTCACTTCAGATGAAAGAACACAAATTTTTTATCAAGGTTCTAATTTTTGATTTAGCGGTGGTCATTTGAAATTGACTCCTGGACATTTCAATCCTGGGGTCTCCGAATGAAGCTTTACCGCACAGTAGTATTGGAAAATCACGTCTATGGGGCAAATCGGAACACACTAAGTGGTACAGCACGTCGGTGTAATCGGCCATTCACGGCAATTGACGATTTTTAGTAACAACTCAATTCCAGCGCGGCTCGGCGGCTCTTTGCAACAGGATTGCCCCCACCGTTGCCAATACGTACAGGGTGGCGACGAATAACTGTTACCCAGGTTTTTTGAGAAATAAAAGGGTCCTTTATAGATTTTGCGAAAAAAGTATTTTATTTCTATTTTTGGGTTCCGATCGGTTCGTATTTATGTTTTTTAAATTTCAATATTTTAATAGGCTTGTCCGATATTGCATCCTTTAGTGCAAATAAAACAAAGTTATTCCACTATTGTTGCCCAATGTTTCGCTAAACTCATTAGCATCTTCAGGGGCTGGTTGTTTATTTTCAAGAAATTTCTATTATAACATATTTAATTAAACTTAATTTTACTTCGGTACTATCTATTGTGGTAGTCTTGTCAATACTTTATTTATTTTATTGTTAATTTTGCACAGATTTTACTTTATTTTTATTAATTAGCTTTTGATGTTTAACCTTTATTTGGGTTTGCCAGCGATAAACATTTTGAGAGCAAAGCGCAAGCGGCACGAAGGTCTTCGTCAGTTAAATTATTCCATATCTTCTGTAACCATAAGCTACTTTTCTCCGTTTTGAGTCCTTTATACTCCGCTTTTGTCCAAGATAAGGCCTCATACCCAGAAATCAAATAGAGTCGGAACTGATGACTAGGACGGCCATTCATTCGACCAACCGCATACACTTTTTCTTTTTTTGTTTGTATTGTTTGTAAAGATGTATGTATTCGTAAATTTAATTTTAAATACGATCGCGATATTTCATCTCTTAAAATTGATGTAGCTTCCGAAGATTTTGATTCACTATTAAATAATTCATTTTTGCCGACCGGGACGTTTGTTCGCGAGTTTGAGTATAAACCTAATAAAAGTAATAACGTAGCTAAAATTTCGAATCTTAATTCTAATTCAGAAAACTAACTCGCAAGTCAACTTTAAGTATTTAATATGAAAACCTTGGAGGTTTGAATACCAAATTAACTGATTAATATTTAAAAGGTTTTCGACTGCAATTATAATATTATTTCCTTGGCGTAAACATGGCTCAAACGTCAATTTTTAATTCCGAAATTCTTCCAAATGAATATCAAATGTACAGGAGCGACCGCGAGGGCGGAATCGGCGGTGGTGTTTCTTTTGCCGTGCATTCGTCGATGCCATCCGATGAAGTTAGTGTTCCTGTCATTGAATATACAGAATTAAAATGTATACGTGTACAGGCTGGTAAGAGTTATGTTTATTTAGCTCTTTGCTACATCCCTCCTAATTCTGCCTTATCAGTATATACACAGCTAGTCTCCTTACTTGAGTCCGTATATGCAATGCTTACGGCATCCGATTCTATGATTATTTTGGGCGATTTTAATCTGCCACACATTTCATGAAACATTATTGACTCCGATGTTGTACCAGTTTCATCTGGCACTTACTGTAGATACTAACGTGAAGGTCAATGAACAAGCTACGTTTCATGTTAGGTATATAATACTGGTGATTTTATTTGCTCATCTTTAATGAAACAGGTAATTTTATCCCTTACGCCCTTTTTGCTGCCACAAAAAAAAGGCTACAGCACGCAATTGCGGCGGTTAAGCCAAAAGATATATTAAAAAAAAAACTTTTTTTTGCATTAACGAAAACCATTTTGATGCCTTTAACTCATTTCTTTTCTCTTGTTATTAAGAAAACAACTATTCAACACAAATACATATGTTATTGATTAAAATACTATTTCTATTTAAAAACTAATGCTGATTTCGTTTGTCCCAAAACAAATTAGTTCTTCCATGTTGCAAAATGTGTTTGATGTTAAGCAGTGTTTGCATTGTTCAACATTTGAAAAAAAGTTGAATGGCTAAAAATAACAATATATATCGAAATATTCGCGTTTGTATTCAACTTTTGGTTGAACGGCCTTTCAACTAATCGCCTTCAACAAAGTTGGTCGCCACCTAACATTTAGCCATTCAACTGCGTTGAGTTACGCAAAGTTGAACAATGCAAACACTACTTTACACTCAACCCTGTAAAAGTGCATTTTTGCCTACTTATCCTTATTGGGCTCACGCACAGCGTTGCCAGGTTGACGTTTTTAACGTCATTTGGACGTTTTTTGTATGTTATTGACGTTCGGAAGTTTTTTGTGCAAAAAATGAAGTTTTTTAACTTCCCAGTAATTTTTCTCTGTTACTCTTGTAAGTAGAACTGATTTTGAATTATTTTCTTAATAAATCTTTACAAGCTTTGTTTTTTTTTGCAGCAGCTTCTTCAAAAGGTATTTATCCTTTGGACGCAAATGACTTAAATACGATGCAAACCAAGCATGCGCGCATTTTTTTTTTGGATTCTTGGACTAAGGATCCCGCGTTCAAAGGCTGGTTTTGTAAACACTTGGGGTTACGAGGCTTTTTGCAATGTTTGCAAAACGCACGTTCACAAAAGCACCAAAAAAGCTGTAGCAGCATAAAAAGTTAGAAAAAAGTAGACGACTTTTTTATGACTTCATTGACAATGCAATGAACGCAAAAAAGGCTGAAATATTGCTATGTTCCTTCTTATGTAGTTTAGCATTTTCAACAACCGACCACCTAACCAAATGTCTACAAGAGAAAAAAAA